TGACACAAATGCAGTAAAACCTCGATATAATGGACTAATTCGGGCGAGGGGGGTGTCTGTTAAAGCTGAAAGTCCACTGTATAATAAAGTAGGTTTTCCAAATGTGTATGTTATAAAATTGACAAATTCGTTTACCTGTTTTTGCTTACTTAGACATGTTTATGTAATTAAAATTAAGTATGTATGAAAAGCTTAATTTCACAGAAAAGTTTTCTCTATGTATTATAATAATTTTAAATTTATACTAAAAAGGTCTGGTAAATGCATGCATTCGCCAGTCACTGCAAGCAAACAAATGCGCAGGGCTGAGACTGGCTTCGCACAAGTCGGAACACAGGCCGCATGAGCTGCAACTGCTGCAGAGCCTGGCCGGTGCTCAGCCGGTGGCACTGAGAGCTCACCTGTTCCACTCCAGGTCAGGGCCCATGCCCAGGACGGGAGCTGGATCCCGGTCTGGGTGCGTGCGGGAGGCAGTCGATCGATGTTTCTCTCTCACTTCGATGTTTCTCTCTCCCCCTCTCTCTTCCTCTCTTTAAAATCAATAAAAACATATTAAGAAAACAACAACTGCAGAATGTCAGACCACGGGACAGCAGAGCCGATCATTGCGCATGATGAGATGCGATCCTGTGCTAATCATTCACAGAACATTGTTTAAGAGCAGTGACTCTTCGATTTAAACATGTAAATAGGTAATATTTATTTATGTTGGTGAAACTACTACAGTGTTTTTTTTTCAACATATGGACTGCTTGCTAAAATTGTTAAAAACAGTGAATTAAAAACAAAAAATAACCTGTTAATTTAATTATAAGCAAATCTTGGTTAAAGGCATGTAAAACTTAACAGGGTGTTACTTTTCACATCTGACATACGGACCAGAAATTTTGTCCATTAAATTCGAAATCCATTAAATCGAGGTCTGCAGAATCGAGTGTTTACTGGACTTGAAGCTTCACTCATTCATTGATACCCACAGTTCCTCAAAGGAGGTCCGTCCTAGATTCTAATTCTAGCCTGGGAAACTTCTCAAGCTTCAAAACTCATCTAAAAGCTTATATTCCCCAGGCACTACCCCAAACTCCCAATACAGACAATGTTTCCTCTCCCAGCCCCCTCATGTTGTGGTGACCCCCAACCATAAAATTATTTTCATAACTGTAATTTTGCTACTGTTATGAATCACCATTGGAAATATGTGTTTTCCGATGGTCTTAGGTGACCCCTGTGAAAGGGTCATTTGACCCCCAAAGGGGTCGTGACCCACAGATTGAGAACCGCTGTACTAAGGAAATAAAACAAATAAGAACACTAGCTAAAGAAAGTCCTTCTGGCTTCCAATAGCAAATACATTGTGAACACACAGACAGAGAGAATTTCCACACAGGCCTAAGAAAGGGCATAATAAAGTCTTTGGGTTATTACAAGCTATTTTTAGTGAGTAGGAGACAAATGATGTTATATGTTATGAACATGAGAATTCCAGAAAGAGTCATGATCAGGAACCTTTACAAACACTAAATGAGAAAATAGTTCTAGTATTACCCTCTTCCAAGTGCTTAACCAAAATTTCCAGAGGCTACGTTTGCAGGAGGAATTTCTCAGTACTTGACTCCATCTGGTTTGGTACGAACTGTGGACAATTGGAAGGTTTGTTGCTAAGAACTAACGGGGACACTAAAAAGAAGATGGAGCCTTCCTACGGACCCTTCTTTCTAGTTTCTGGTCTCACTCTCTCTCCAGTCCCTCATCATTCCTGGCCAGAACCATGGCCAGGTACTTAAATGTTCTGTCCCCAGAATTGCCTTCCATCACTGTATCTTTCACATTGTTTTTTTTTTTTTTAAAGTGATCTTTTATAAAAAAGATCCAATGAGAATATCCCAATGTCTTAAAAATGGTTCTTTGCCTGCATCATACTTATCCAGTTGGGGCATTTTGGAGCTTGTGGAGGGGAGCACTCCATGATTTGGGTGAAGTAGGAGAAGCGGTAGGGAAATTATGGCGTCTTTTTGTAGCTGCTGCTGACCTCAGTGGTAAGTAGTTTAAAAGATTTATTTGTTTAATTATTTATTTTATTTGTTTTATATTTTTCCCTATTGTCTGCCCTCACACCTCACCCTTCTCACCTACCCCCTAAAAGATTTTTTTTTTTAATGTTAAAACAAATATTGTAATATTATGAAGCTAAATACAAAAGTCACAGGGATTTAAAGAGAGAGTATGAGACCTTAAAATAATGCTTTTGATGACAGCTATTGCATTTTACTCAGATGCCCCAGGCACTTATGAAAAAGGCAGTAAGAATCATCCAGAGGGGAGAATTTCAGCAGCTCCCCAACCTGTGTCAAGCCCCTGCCCAGCCTATTCTCTCCCCGGTCCGGGAAACCACTTGTTCTCATGAGACACATGGACTTCTGTGCCTCTAGAACTTTGTTCTTGCTGTTTCCTTACCTGAGATTATCACCCCTTCCCTATTTACTTGGCCAACTTCTCCCCTCATCCCTCTTCCTTCCTTCCCTTCCTTCATCCTTCTTCCTTCTTTCCCTTCCTCCTTCCCTCCCTCCATTCTTCCTTCAGTGTTTCATGAACTCCACTCAGCCAGGTATCCTACTAGACTCTGGCAATGTAGAGACAAAAGGATCCTGCAGAGATGGAGAGGAGGGCAGGGGGAAGTTATACAAAAACATTAAAAAACAGAAGCGTATCTAAAATTAATTGTTACATACGTAGCACTGTGATAAACACTGTCTACACATTATCCTTTTAAATTCACTTTTATTTTTAAAATTGTTATTTATTTACTTTTAGAGAGAGAGAGAGAAGTAGAGAGCGCAAGAAAAACATCGACATGAGAGAGAAACATCTATTGGTTACCTCCCAGGTGCATTCTGGGGATCGAACCCACAACCTGGGTATGTGCCCTGACCGGGAATTGAACCCGCCATGTTTTGGTGTACAGGGTGACGCTCCAGCCAACTGAGCCACGCTGACCAGGGCTATTTGATTCTTATATCTACACTGAGAAATAAGTTTTGCCAATACTAAAACTTGCCTCAATGTCACACAATAAATGGCACTTGTCTTGCGGCGCCCAGTGAGTGACTTAGCCAGAACTAAAACACAGCGTGAGACTCCGAGCTGTGCGCTAAGACATCGCTTACTACCCAGTTTGATGAGTAACCTTCTAGATCTAGCTTAAATGTCCCATCCTATCTTTCTTTTTCCCCTTTGAAAATTCTCCCATTAAAGCATAATCACTTTCCCCCTAACTTGTGTTCCTATATTCTTTATTAACATGATTTCATTATGGCTATATGTATACATGTTTTCTCTGTATGGCTATATGTATGAATGTTTTCTCTCTCATCAGGCTTAGGAAGACCTCAGAGCAGGTAGATGGCATCTCCGATCCAAAGGCATCACCCTCCCCTGGCACAGTGGGTCGGGTGAGTGGGGCAGGAGAGTGGGCCCTATGGTGAACCAAGCACTTGAAAACTTTGTAAAGGTCACACTTGACTGCCCACAGGCCTCAAGCTGTGTTTTGTTTGGCCTAAGGAGCATTTGCACTAGTTTTCCAACTTTTAGAAATTACGAGTTTATCATAAATTCTGGGTTTCCAGCTTCTTTTTAAAATGGGAAGATTCGGAATCATTGGTCAAGCATTTCTGCACGACCGCATCTCCAGCGGGTCCTGCGATCTGCAGTTCCCAAAGCCCCTCCCCTGCGGTGCTGCCTGACGGCTTTGCTCACTCAGGCTACGGCCAGAGCCCCGACCCTAATACTCCCCACCAATCTTCTGCGCAATCTTCTGTCTAAAATCTCTTAATTTCTATATATTCATATGATGGTTACTGTCTACAAATAATAGAATTTTTAAGGTAAAATTTGAAGCATCAAAATGGCACCAATGCAGTTGACTCCTCATTTACCACTCTAAAGCTCCGTGTGCCAAGTTATGAAGAACAGAATACCGATGGCAGAAAGCCTCAGTGCACACAAATATCGGAGGATGTGTCAGAGTACGGCATGTACGATTTCCCATCTCCAACAGAGATCGCTCAGGTCTATTTACAATGGACCCGCGGTCATTCCATAGCTATCAGCTCACACAAAGAAGTTATTTACAAGTTAGCAGAGTGTTGTTTGCAGTGATTATAATTACAGAACAACTTTATTAATTTAAAATCTTCAATGCTTGGCATAGAGATTGGGGTCAAGTTTACCTTTATATTGTGACAGTATATGAAAAGATTTGCTAAGCAAATTTACTAAGTCATTTGTTTGTAAGAAAGAAAAATACTGTTTACTTGACACAAATTTTAGAGTTATGAATTCCCAACAATGTAAGTGCATTGTAAGCAAAAGCTAGGTACTGCTTAGGTTGGTATTTTAATATAATAAGTACAAATCATTTCCCTCTATTCTTCAAACCATGACTCCTGCCAGATAGCACCTTTTTATCCTAGTTCAACATGCAATATTTATTTGAAAATGATGAAATATTGTTACTGGTAAATATATTGGTTTTCTCCGACTCTTCATCATCTCAGTCAACTCTTTCCCCAAATCAACTGACTTGTCTGACTCTACTTAGCAGAGTGAGTGCAAAAAGGAAGGCCACAGTTAAGAGTAAATACCAATTAGTCACCTAAAGCTTCAATAGACACATCCAGTATAATAAAATACCATGCTTTAATAAAGCAAGAGCTGGCAGCAAAACAGTAAGTGTCCAAACATGATGAATAGCAGGTTAACCACCTCTACAACAAAGGGAGCAACAATGCCAAGTTAGCCCATTTTTGCTCAGTCTTATAACAGACAACATCACAATCTATAATTTTATTTATTTATGAGGGTCATCCAACATCACAAGATAAATTGAAGTGCAAATAAATGGCTTACCTCTCTTAATGGTCATTCATGGGGGGAAAATGTGTTTTATGGTGTAGAAAAGAACCTTGAAAACAGTTGAAATTGACAGTAAAATCATGTCCTACCTGGGTAACTTTCTCTGTCACATTGTGTGTTCGATCTTTAACCTTGGGTGCAATAATGGTTTTATCTGAAGAAGGAGGGGATGTATTCTTTTTTTCAGTTTTGACATCTGAAAAATTCAGAGTGAGCTGTGGAATCTTGTTAATGGTGCTGTATTTGTTGAGGTTTGAATCCGATGTGGATCCCAGCAGACTCGACTTGATATGATTAAAAGGCCCTAAAAAAATTGGAAAGTATTTGTAAAAGCAATATCAGGAGAAATAAGAGAAAAAAAAAAATGTCCTGAATGACCTGCTGGTGCGCAATGACTAACGTGACCCTGATCCAGGTGTGACTAAATTTGGCTACTTGATACCTGAACACAGGGTGTAGGGTCACTGTCTGCCGCAAGGAGTGGCACATGGGCATCCGAGGAGAAGATGGGGTCTAGGGGTGTACCCAGAGAGCAGATGGAGGCTTTAGCTATTAGTCAGCTTCTTTCATTAAAGGCTGTGATAAAAGAAAAATCCCACTCTCTATCATTGGCCAGATTCTACCTTCAAAGTTTCTCCAGATTTCCTTTTATAATTCAGGGATTATTTGAGGAATGACTTGCCTATGGTAAAATCATGTTGGCCATGAAATTTCTGAATGGGCTGTCTGCCTTGCTTGTTTCTATTATTCTCTCTGTGCCACAGCAAGTGACGAGTCAGCTGGGTTCTTCATATGCTTCTGTTGCCTCTATGAGATGTTTTTATAGAGTTTCCACAATGGTTAAACCCAGATGGAGAAATTTCAGATAAGACTGAGAAGGACAAATGTCTTTATTTAATTTTAATTTTATTTTATTTTATTTGTGTGTGGACTCTATCGAAAGCTCTAGGATCCTGTGTGGGATTTTAAAATATTTTTCTTCTATTTTTTTCCTTTCATTTAGATTTGATTGACCACTTATTGAAGAAAGAAAAAGAAAACCCATACCAGAAGAATGCTTTGGCAAACAACTTACAATTGAAGTGAACATAGTTAGGTAATAGGACATATCTGCAGTTGGTAGTACCTATTTATTTATTTATTTATTAAGCCATGCTGTGCATTAGATCCACAGAACTTATTTATCTTATAGCTGGAAGTTTGTACCCTTTAACCAGCCCTGGTGACATCTCAAATGCCTTTCCTACAAATATTATTTGACAAGGTGCCCGGACTCCTCTCATTGTTAAGGATAAATACACTGAAGAGCTACATCATCATTTGAGATGAAGCTATTGTCTGTTGCTTATGAAGATTCAAGAAATGCTCCAGAGGTTCTTGTGCAATGGGTGATGTTATATAGCTCGTAAAAATTAGCATCAGGAACAAATATAGAAAAATCCTGAGCCCATGAGTATTATACAGCCATTATCTTTTTGCCTCCGAGAGTGCTTAAAACATAAAAACTGCATGAATGAACTTGCTGGTTAGCAGATTTTGCTTTATTTTCCCCGCCCTGTTCAGAATGAAACTAACACAGTTTAGGGATCAAATGTATTTTATGCACCAAGTGAGGTATAAACAGTTGAAAATTATATTTATAGTTTGTGCATTTTGAACCACAAGAACCAATCAACTCAGATCAAATACAATGCTAAGAAAGCAATACTCATCACTTAGTTCATAGTTACCTTGAAGAAAAATCACATTGTATTTGTTTCTAAAAGTTATATTTGAATATTATATAAAAGTTTGAAGTTATTTAATGAGAATTTTTATTGAGGTAGCAAACCCTGTGTTTCTTGAAGTGCATTTCTGTTCATTTCCTGATTTTTTCTATGATGACCAAGTCTGCCTTGGTGAAAAAGGTCATTGAGTTCTCTGCACATTTATTGCCCAGTATATTTTCATTTGCATATAGATTTTTATTCTCTTTTCTTCATGTGACAGGGGGAGAAGTAAGAGCCAAAAGTAGCACCAAATTGTTCTAACCTTCAGGTAGGACTCAGACAGAAACCCCACTCTCCAGGACTTTGTAGAACTCTCCACTCTACATTATTATTGGAACATAACCTAGATGGTGTTTCCCTTTTTTGTATCATTTTATGGCTACCTTCCAGGTCTATATCTTAATATTTACAGTTTGTAGATATTCTAGGACTTCTAATTTCTTGCTATTGTCTTTTGCTCAGCTCTAATGTCACATTTTTATTCCTTAGGCAATTTCACTGTACACAGGGATACTGACAAGATATTAAAGAAGGTTGGGCTCAGGTATAAAGTTAAATTGTGTTTAAAAACCTTTAGCCCAATTTTCAATTCCCTTTCTCTATTATCCTTCTATATGTTGGATTTCTGTAGCGGGTTATCTATAAAGTTGTTTAAAAAACTAGATAAAAACTTGGATTATCTATAATGTTACAGCATAAAGACACTGTTAAATATACTTTGATTGTCCTGTGATCTGTTCCAATAAACTCCACTGAACTGGCTACATGGATAAGGAAGGTCTCAACTATGAGAGTACTCCACTCTATCTATTTATTTATTTATTTATTTTTATTCTCACCCGAGGACATTTTTGCATTTATCTTCAGACAGAGCAGGAGGGAGAGATGGAGGAAGAGAGAGAGAGAGAAACATCGACGTGAGAGAGACACATCGACTGGTTGTCAACCACACAACCCCAGCTGGGGCCGGGAGCAAACTGCAACAGAGGTACGTGCCCCTAGTGGGAACCGAACCTGGAACTCTCTGGTCCGCAGGCCAATGCTCTAACCTTTGAGCCAAAGTGGCCAGGGCTCAACTATGAGAATACTTCACTCTAGGGTAGTGATTTTCAATGGGTATGCCACGAGAATTTTAAAACATGCAATACCTGACAATTTAGTCAGGGGCACTGACCTCTTCTTTTCCCTTAGATTGTCAAATAAAAAAAATGAAAACAGCCAACATACCAATAGCTGTCTGGCGTGAATGGAATGAATCAAAATTATACTTATATTTTGTCAGATCACCAAAAAAGATCTTATATTATTTGGTGTGTTGCAGTGTTTTAGTAATTAGTTCATGTGCCACAAGATTAAAAAGGTTGAAAATCGCTGCTCTAGGGGCATTTGTGAGGCACTTTTATTTGTCACAATGACGGGAGGTGGCTATTCTCTCACTTTGAAGAATTGTCCCGTCTGTCCCAGTGGGCATTTATGTAGGTGAGAAGCCTGTTTATAACAATCTAAACCTTGAACTTGTTTCAGATATAGACTACAATGTACTTTTAACATGCTTTAAATATATATGGAACTTTCCATAGTTACAACTACCATGTAAAGGGAAGATTTTTACATTGTTTTATTCAGAACTTAACCGGAGTTTGTTCACCACTTAGGGCATTTGAGCTGCCAACTGAAAATTTCAGACCTCAAGTTACTTGTCACGTGACAAACGATGTACGCGAAGAGATCTGAATCTTTAACAGCACTGGAGCTGAATATTAACAAATTTGCAGGGATTATTGGAAGAACAGTAAAAATCTTTAATATAATTACTTAAAAAATATTTCATATTTTTGTTCTCCTATGTATGTAAAGTTATGTGTGATACAATGGAAAGAAATCTATGCAGTAAAAACATTTGAAATGATTTGTCTTGGGATTGCCTGCTGCTTTCCAACCTCGCCCTCATCACTCCCTGGAGATTTGCCACAACTTCTCCAGAACGTCTTGATTGCCATTTCTCCTAATCCATCTTCTGCTTCCCATCATTTCTGGAAGCACATGCTCTGCAAGGTCTTTTTTTTTAAGTGTTGGAAGATGAATATATGTTCCTGACATTTAGTGGGATTCCTTTCTTCTGTGCAATTCCTTGCTGTTGCCTGTTACCAGATAGGGAATCATTTTAACACTACATTTCAAAGCAAGGGCCGGCTCATTTGTCAGAATATTATAGATCCTCATTTTCTCCCCTCTTAGTATATTATTTAAAATTCAATTTTGGTTCTATGCTTTTGAAATTCACATATAAATAAGTCTAATATGTTACTATTTATTCCAATAGTGGTTTTTATTTTGTTATCCACCCATATTCCTGCTCTATCATTTTATCCAGGACTTATATGACCATTTTCTCATGTCTTCAATGCACTTAAAGCCAATTTTTTTGTATGTCTAATTATTGCATTATGTCTTCTGTGTAGTTACATCTGAACATTAATATATTGAGATACATATTATTTTATTATAAACTGTTTTTCTTTATCTCTCCTTTATATTACAGTTAATAAATTATGTTGTTCTTTTAGAAGTAAGTTACATTATTTCTGAATGTAGTTTCAGGATAGTAAAATGAATATAAAAAATATTTGTTGCAACAAGAGGACATCAAGTCTGAAAAGGCTAAGATTTGGCCTCAGACTATTAAAAATTCACTGCAGTCTGTATTTTAGCTTCTCTTATTTACTGGAAAAATCTTTCTAAACTGTTACTCTATTCTGTTTTTATTTTTTAAGCTCTTAGTGTTAAAGATTTAAACTAGGTTACCTTCTAAATCTATCCAGTTAAAGAATTCAGCAAAACTTAAAATATTTCATAAAATAAAAATGCATGATCCCAAAACAAGACTTTTAGAATCTACTTTATCCTGTATAACAAAGATTGTTATGCTCGTTTCCACTGATTTTGAAATAGGGGTTTATATGCAGAAGTCTGTTAAAGTCTGCAAGATGATCGGTGTTGGGTTAGGTTCTTCTAAAATCTGTTGAAATTCTAATTAAAAGTTTCCAACACTTTAATTAAGATAGGTATTAACAATATCTTTATTTTACCAATTGTAAACCAGAGCAGACGGGATATGAGGCCAAGAGGGAATAAAAATCAAGGACCAGAAACCAGAGCACAGGGTTTCCTACCTCCTAGGTCTACATTCAGAGAAGTCTTGGTTGAGGACTGAAAGGTGACAGGCAGCCTCCCTGACAGTGGTCATGAACAGATGGGGCTTAGGGATTCTAATGAAAGAAAGAAGAATAACCTAAAAAACAAAGTTAAATCAATTTGAAAGAAAATAAATGGGCATAAATATAGGGAAATAATAGATTCAGTAGAAAGAAATGCAAAACTCAAGAGTATATCGAAGGACACTATGTTTTTTTGAGAAACATTGGCAAATGGATGACCAGATTACTTTTTCCAATATACTAGGAAGAGATGGAAAACAGGTGACCACAAAGACTAACTCGGCAGCTATATAAAGCACTAATATATTATAAGTGTCTGCTTCAATATAAAGTAGGCCAGGTTCCAGCTACAAAGAAATGCCCTGCATTTAGAGATCAAGCTAGAGGCTAAAGTAATAATGGGGACGAATTTTAAATGTATCATGTATGACAAGATACTAAAGGAGAATATATTCTCTTTGAGATGGTGCTGGTAATATAGCTTAGGACATCTAATAAAAAATAATAATTTATTATTTTTTTAGATCATTGCTCTTGAGTGACAAATGGGTCAAGAGAGAAGGAAATAAAAAAATATTAAGGTTGTGTTCAACTCATCAGGTGTTTATACACTATTTCTTAGGACTCTGAATTTATTTTGCCTAAGTTTACTGAAACTTAAGTCACTGAATTGACAACCTTAAAGAAATTGCAAGAGTAGTGTTTCATAATTGAATTTTGTAAAAGAACGCTGTCAAGAAGCATAAGGACAACTGGTTTAACACTAGAAAAAGATGAGAAGTAATTAAATTATTTGTAGTCAATATTTATACTGTCTATTTCAGTGCATGGCATATCATTTACAGAAGAACACTGTCACCACTGAAAAATCAACTTATAAAAATCACAATACTCAGTAATGGTCAGTGTAGCTTAGGAGAAACAGGTGTGTCAGATCAGTTGATTTCCATTGTGAGTCTGATTGTTTTTGTGGCTATAGAGGAGGTAAAAGCTGTAATAAAACTTGAGAGTAGTTTTGTTCTGACTCACGTGCCAGATTCTTAGACAATTTGAAAACTCAACATAATTGTCAGTGGGATGCAGTGTAACATGGGATGACAAGGAGGCGGAAGCAATAGAAGGACAAAATTGTATTAATGACTGATTTACTAACTTCTATTGCTGACTTGGAAAGCAGAATAAGCAAAGAAACCCCTAAATTCAAGGTGAAAATCTGTTTATGTGTGATTGTAGAGTTAGGTTCACCTCTCACATGGAAATCATTGAAAAAATATAATGTACACACGCAAACAAATAAACAGCATATGCAATTCATTTGAATGTATTTTTTCATTCTTTGACAATGAGTTATACTTTTTGATCTCTGAAGTCTAATTTTAAAGAGTCAGAGTGCTAAGGGAATTTATTAAAAGGAAACAAAATTGGTCCCAAGAAAGAAGGTTAACTGGAAATTATTCCATTTAGAAAAAAAGATTGAGTATCAATTTGCTGTTTTTATACTGCGATACTGTATCAAGATTAGAAGCATCTCTGCTAACTCAGGATAGATGAAGGGGAATAAATTACATTTCAGCAAGAAGGATTTAGTTTAGCTCTTTGTGTAACAGGCAGTGAAATAGATTTCCCAAGAAAGTTAAAGAATGGGCTCCCCTGGAGATAAAGATGCCTCTACCACCCGTGCAAGGGATTTAGACAACACCTTGCCCGACGGGAATAAACCAGCCGATCTTGAAAACCTTCCAAATACATTCTTCAATTATTTATTTTATTTTAATAAAGAAATAATTTTTGGTTGGGTTAAATATTGAAAAAAACTACGCATTTGAATGTAAAGAAGTGTAGAAATTTGTCCTTTATTTAAAACATTTTTTATTTAAATGTATTTTAGAAACAAATCCCCTAAATTTAAAAAGCACAGTTAATGTATTGTCCTATATCTAATTAGAATATTTTTCCAATAGTTTTCAAAACCAGAGCCTGAACAAATATAAAAGACTTAGGAGGGCACAGGTACATTACATTTTTATTAAATTTGCACATGTTTTATCTAATTTGGGAATTTAACTTCATAAATATTACTGTACAAAAAATTACTACTGTGGTTTAGAGTTTCCTAAATCAAAATTATGAATTTTATGACTCATTTTTATTCAAAGACTATTGTTACTTAAAAATGGGGGGGTTGAGAAAAAAAGGTTGGAGAGTAAATGGATTAGTTTATGAGACAAAAATAAAATTGCCGTAGTTTGAATGTCAACTATGTGAACTACCAGTTTGAAAGATAAGCAAGCTTTATTTTCTATTCATTGAGAAAAAATATTAGATTCATTTCTCACCATACAAGATCCCCAGAAAATGAATGTCTGATAATGTATTGTTAATTGTCAAAGCTAAAGCCAGCCATATGTCAGAGGCAAGTTGGTGAGAGCTGTTTGTATTTCGTTTCTTGAAATGATGTTCTGAATGATATCAGTGCAAATCACCGCCCGTAGCTGACACTCATTTGCTTCCTTTTAGAAATCTCAGGCCAAGGATAGGATCAGCACGTACATGAAATCTACCCGCTACTGAGTTCACCTGCAGAGACCCCTTTGGAGGTGCTTAGGAAGTAAAACTGGGGTGGAAAGGAGTTGCCACAATTTTCCTTGTTTTCACATTATCCTGGGTTGCTGGCCAGAAAACATCTTTAGCTTTTAGTGCTATTAATTCATAGCAGTCACCAGCTCTGAAGTAGAGAAGTTAATATCCCAAATTTGACAGGGACTAGAGTAGCAGTGATAGGCACGAGGTCAAACAGTGAGTTCTAAGTAATGACGGTTACTGGTGGAGACATGTCCATGCAACAAACATGCACAAAACGAGTCCTTGTCACTGTGTGCACACCCACAGCAGCATGCAAGGCCTGGGCTAAAAGACTGAGCCCCGCAAATTCTTTATTTGATGAGAATATACGATTTATTATATTTTGTGATCCCTTGTATCCACTATGATCTAGTAGAAAAACAGAAGTAAAATTCAAAGTTTTAGCCAAATCCAGATTTATCCAGAGGTATTTTTCAGTTAAACAATACCCTATAGGAGCTGTAGGTCATGCTAGTGATTTCAGACTAATAAAAGACACAATTAAACATGACTGAAATGTAATATAGAAAGATAGAAAACAACAGTCATGCATGTACACTCGACTACCACGGTAAGCTTAAAACCATACCCCCTGCCATCCAGGAACGTGAAACTAGTTTTAAGGAAACAAAAGAGGAACAAGTGAAGTGATGCTGTCTTATAGTACTTTGTTTATTTTATTTAATCTTGAACTCAAAAATAATTTTTTTGTGTGTGTGTGGCTGAAATAGGCTTATGTGCTTCTCTTACACTGAAATATATTTAGCTTGATATTTGTGTCTTTCCAAATGATTCAAATATTTAGGAAGTGTCCACTGTCAACCTAGGCTAACCATTCTTGCAGGAAAAAATTCATAACACGACTGAGAAAGGAACAAGGTCTCCAACCAAATCAAGCCATGATGTCTCCACCAGGCGCTTGGACTAGCTAAGGGCAGCATGATGTTGCATTGAACAGGGCATACAGCAGGCGACTTAACATGCCAAGTAAAGGGGCACTTTGAGCATCAGATGTTAAAATTTCAGTTTGTACTTTACCTTTGATATTGCGACCATTGTCTGTTTTGAACACATAAGGATGAAAAAAAGAGAGAAATATAAAAAGACTAAAATTATGTTATATACACTGAAATACCTCTGTAAAAAACAACCAGAGAAAATAGAATGTAATGCTTGAACATTCATCTTTGAAATTAACATTTTGTACGATTCAACCAAGTAAAATATATATGCTAGAAATATCTGCTGTCGTAAGCATTCATGTGACATAAATTTAACATATAAATGTTAAAATATGTGAAACATTTATCTTACTTAATTTAAATGGATTCCAAGCTACAGATATTATAATTTTGACAGTTTGGGGAAAGACATTCCCAGCTGCTTGCAGCTGTGATGAAAACTTCCAACCTTGTCAGAAGCCATTACAAGTGTTGCTTCCACCATCGTTTAACAAAGAAGGACTACACAACATTTTGTATGTTAAATAATTCTTTGTATAATTTCACATAGTATGTTAATAAGGAAGAACTATTACTAAGACAACATTTTACCTTATAAACCAACTTGCTTTATTAATCACAAATTTATTATTTGTCCCTCTTATAAATGGTCTTTAATATATATTTTGAAAATGCCAAATTGTGCAGTAAGAGTCATTCTTATGCAAACATAATTGTAAGAAATCAGTGAAACATTTGACTGTTCAAAGGTAATGTAAGGTTTTTCATTTTATTTTGTCAAAATGCACTCCGTATAGTGCTGAGAATATTTAGGAAATTTGTTTATATTAAAATGGGCTGCTTTCGAATCTCAGAATGGAGTGTTTTCTGATTTATTTTGAGATTAGCAATCTGACATGTCACATATTTGTTACTAACAATATGCATTACTAGTTTGAAACAATCAAGCTTAAAACAAAGTCATGTCAAAACCATTCAAATACATCCAAGATTTGGAAAATCTGTTCAGCATTTGCTGCCATCTCTGCTAATACTGGAGCATATTTAAAATCGTGGGATATATTATAATTCTTTCAAAGCTTACAATGGAAACAATTTCAATAGTGTGGTACATTGAATTGCTAGTGTAGACATTGCCTTGGGTACAAATGAAACTATGACCTTAGATGATGACTCTCTGCTCACTTTGAGGAACCGTTATAAGCAAATAAGGACAGTGGAAGAGAACTTGATTACATAGAATTAATTATCCCTATTAGAAGCTGGGGCCAAAAATCATTAGTAAAATAACAAGTACTTTCAAGAGTTTCAAAATTATAATTCTACTCCCCAAACTTGAAAATTACATATAAAAATTTGCAGGTGAAAAAAAAAAAACAAAACTGACTATTGCATAGTTCCAGTACATGGTTAATGCTGCTTTGCTGTTCTAAGGCAGGGTACGGGGTCCATTGTGCTGGTTGTAGCGAGGTCTGCTTGTTCTTCATTCCTCCATGACTGTCAGTGCAGGTATCAGAGTGAGCACCTCGAGTCTACACCACTTTGACAGAGAAATTGTACCTCTTTCAGTCTGATAATAAAACAATTGTGGTTTATATTTTGTATGTCTATTTTTTGAATTTCATTTTTCTAGCAGTGTATTTTTATGATATTTACAAATGTATGGGTTCATGATGGATTAGATAAAAAATTCTGGTCCTTTACCACAAATGGTTTGAGAAGTACAGTTCTAAGGAACTTGATAATACAGATCAAATGACAAGATAATGTAATATATTATGCACTCATAGATTTGCAAATGATGTAAAGGTCTATAAAGATAGCCAATAGAGGAGGAAATTTCTCTTCTTGAAATAGGAGACAGCAATATGAATTCAAAATCTGGTGCATGTGGGGTTTAACCTGTTAACCGGTTTATATGAATTAATAAAACTGAAATCAGGCTTAAAAGTTTTCCACCTTCCCTTATCAGTGTCTCAGTTCCTAAAATAAAATATATCAAATATATAGTCTTAGGATGTATAATCCTCTAGGCTAATCAGTTATTTTGCAGCTAAAATTATTCTGAAGCTGAAGTACAAAATGCACTCTGAATTGATTAGACATTAACTGTAGCATCTGCAAGAAAGCGATACATTTTCTTTCACAATAACATAACTTGGATGGGGAAAGAAAATTGAACATGATCTCAATAATTCATGTTCATTCATGTATAGAACCCACACTGAGAAATCCAAAAATGTTAAATCATCCTTTCCCATAATTATATCAGTAACTGTGCACTAAATGGGGGTCACATAAAATTGAAAACTATAAAGTTAAATCATGAAATCTGCTCTAACTTCTGCACCACTGTCAAATCACAGGCTGAGTTTGTGTCTATACACTGCACTGGTTATGTATCACTTACTACCCAGATTCACTGTTTCTGAATGTCATTATACTGCAACTCAGGTTCTAGGCAATAAAGCCAATCTCTGAAAAGCCAGCACAATCTCTAAAAATGGCCACACTAATTGGATTAACCAACCGAAACGTAGGTTGGTCATTTCAATTACTATGCTGATCTTACTCTTTGCTCAAAGATCAAATTTCAGAGCTGCCATTTGGTCAGGAGATACTGAACATGCAATTACTACATGGTTTAGGTCCTTAGATGATTATCCATATTCAAATTGTCCTTGATTTTAATTTTCCTTATACCTTTTGACATTCTTTGGACTACAGATTCAAATAGTGCTAATCGCCCTTTGACCACTCAGTTTCTCAAACCTATCTTATAGGAAGCCGTTCCTTCAGTTTCAGTAATACTGATTTTCTTCTCTTTAAATTTTTTCCTCCCAACTCATTTTCTTTCACCTCTCTGCCTTCTCTACTTCACTGTGCCCTTTCCATATAGATCTCCATACAGAATTAGACCTTAAGGTTTTCATTTCAATTTTAGAGCATCCTGGGGCAGCTAACTCATTTCGTGAGGTGTGTGTTTTTGGACCATATTTCACGAGCATGGTCCTCTCAGTTTCAAACAGCACTTACTGAGTTCCTGTCATGACACAGGCAATTTTTCTGGTTACTAAGGCTGTAGAGCTCACTCTGCCAGAACTTTTGTGCTGGAGGGGCTCATAGCAACGTAATTACTTGCATATTTGCCAGGGACGATGCAGAATAAGGTAGACTGCGTTAAATGCTATAATATATGTAAGCACTGCTTTGCACACTCAGGTACACATTTAATTCCTCTGGGTTGAAGGGAAGTGGGTCCTTGTGGCTAGGGGAAAAAGTTAGGAGGAGTATTCCTGGCAGAACAAAGTATTGAAGCCAAGAAAATATGTGATACATTTTTGGAAAAAGGCAATTAGCTTTGTTCCGGAATAGAATAGAATACATAGGAGGGGAAGAAACCTTGGAGAGGCTAGAATGAGGCTTCAAGAAATAACTGTGACTGATTGGCAAAGCACCTAGTACCCTTCACTCGGGAGCCTCGGAATCTGATTTATGTTTTAAAAACCAGCAGCATGAGTGATGATGGGCAGTCATAAGAAAGAATGTCACAGAAAGGACAGTGGGTCTCTAAGAACCCAAATGTACAGGATTCAGAAAACTGGTGTATCCATGCAACAGGCCCTCTGAACCTCAGATCCCCTGGGGAAAAATATCAGTGACTCGAGAGACCCCTTCTACAGCAAGGTTCGATGGGAAGAAAAACATGAATTGACTGTGGGTTCTAGGTTTAAAGGTCAGCTCTGACACCCTATGACCTGGAGCCAGTTATTTATTCAGCATATCTAAGCCTCGGTTTCTCATCTGTAAAATGGGGCCTACTACCAGTGCCTAACTGCTATGAGAACTAAAAGAGAATTAATGGGTATCAAGCAGTTACGTTGTCTCTCACATAGTAAATACTCAACAACTGTTATTCATGATTGTGTCAACAACGCATAGTTTTTGCCAATGCTTTTTATAAATCCATACTTTCACTACCAGGTAATATAAGAATACGAAAAAGAAGATGCCAGGGAGAAATAAGTGAATTCTGATTTGGCTTTTCAAATTGGTTTTGTTTGAGATCAAGAGTTTCAGGGTTTGGGGTTTACTTTGTCCTCTAAGCTTTTCCCCTTCCCCTACTATCCCCTCCCTGCCCTCAATCAGTCCATAGCTTTCTGATCACTCAACATGTAATATTTCATACCTCTCTTCCTTTGGAAAGAGTTGGTCAATTAAATAGTCATGTGACAGTCCACTACTTTTTCTGCCCAGGGCTTACTATATATATACTATACTATATACTAAATATAACAAGATTAATTATGCTTGAGATGACAGTGTCATGACCTAAGCACATCTTATATTACGCATTAATTCATTAAACTTCCACAAAGTAGGCAGAAAATGTTTATTTCAGAAACACAGATAAAGAAGCCAGAAGAAACCAAATTATTCACTGGGGTTCAAAGAAGAAATAAGTAATGACTCTGAATGTGGGACTCATCTTTTAATGTGAGCCTTGACTCACATTTCTTCCTTGAAAGCAGCGATTTTCACCTGTTGGGTCACAAGGATTTTTAAAACATGTAATACCTATGCAGTCAGGGGCACTACCTCTTTTTCCTTAGATCGTCAAATAAAAAAAAATGACAACAGCCCTGGCTGGTTTGGCTTAGAGATTAGAGTGTTGGCCTGTGGACCAAAGAGTTGGGGAGTTCGATTCCAGTCAAGGGCACGTACCTCGTTGAGGTTGGGGTTGTGCAGGAGGCAGCCAATTGATGTGTCTCTCTCACATTGATGTTTCTCTCTCTTTCCGTCCTTCCCTCCTATTCTATCTGAAAATCAATGAAAAAATATCTTCAGGTGAGGATTAAAAAAAAAAAAGATGACAGCCAACACAATAATAGCCATCTGGTGTGAATGAATCGAAATAATATCTATTTTATTTTTTTGTCAAATTGGCAAAAAAGTATATTTTTCGGTGTACCACATAATGGTAGTAATTAGTCTATGTGTGCCATGAGATGGAAAGGTTGAAAATCGCTGCTCTAAGGCATAAAGAGTAATGTTACAATGAAACAGAATATGAAAATTCCCTCTCATTACCCATTAATTTATGTTTTCATACTAAAAAGGAAACTCAAACATACCTTCACTGGCATGTCGATCTCTAAATATGTTCTTGGGGTGGACAGTGAATCCTTCTATGTCATGGACTGAAGAAGCCCTCCGTATACTACAAATGCTTTCCTTTGATCTGGAATGAGTCAGCTGGGAACTGGACTGCAGCATGTCAGGGTAGAGCCGGTCCCACTGCCTTTTGGGAGAGGAATGGTCAAGAGGTCCGGATATATTCACCAAGGGGGAACATTGGCTGGGCTGTATCAAGGCTTTTGTATCATCTGCTTCAGAGGGGCTGCAGCTTTCTTTTGTAGGAGACTTAAAGTGCTTCATGGCTACTGAATCATCACTGTGTTTAGACGAATCAATTACAACCACATCGGGGTCTTCTTGTGGTAAGGACTGCTTTCTGTAAGTGAGAACTCTCAGACCAGGGAACTTGAACCCAAAAAGTTTCCCTAAAGAGAGAAAAGAGCATTCTTACAAGACAAAGGATACATCCTTGAAACAAACAAACAAACACACAAACATTTTGGATTCATATTTAGATGACATATAAAAAGAGTTATTAATTGCCCTGGCCAGTTTGGCTCAGCAGTTAGAGCGTTGGCCTGCGGTCCAGAGAGACCCGAGTTCGGTTCCCGCTAAGGGCATGTATCTCGGTTGCAGTTTGTCCCTGGCTCTACTTGGGGTGGTGTGGGTGGCAGCCAGTTGATGTGTCTCTTTCACATTGATGTTTCTCTCTCTCTCTCTCTCTCTTAAAAAAAAAAGAGTTATTAATCAATACTTGATTTACAGATATTGTAGGAAACTTCTCTGAAGGTAATACAAATGATCATATAAGTGTAAGAAAGTAGTAAAAATAATTTTACCATGTTTTTGATAGATATTATCTGCTGACATGAAAGCATTATTTGAAGGACACGAAGTTTTGTTTTGTTTTAATAAATTAAAAACATATATCCACTATACATCTGTTCTTTAAGGAAATTTGAAGGGTAGAGCATAGTTTAGAAAGAAAAAGAAGGGATGGGGCACCACCTGTAAAAGGAGCAGACACAGACAAAACAATGGTGTGTGTGTGTGTGTGTGTGTGTGTGTGTGTGTGGTGGGGGTGGGGCTGCTGTACTGCAAGGGAATGAGGTGGGAGTAAGAAGCTGGCCTAACTAGCTAGCAGGTTTCTTCTAGATACTAATGTCAGTTGAGTGTGGATGGAATGGGGTCAGCTGTGTATGAGATGTTTCTCATTCCATTCGGAAGTCTTTCAAGACTTTGGGTTTCAGAGAGTGATGTATGGTCAACATATGGATTTTTCTTTTTCTCCTGATTTTTTGGTTCCGAAGTCTAAGAATAGGGTATGGAATGTTATACATATCTCAGAGTGGATAATGCTTAGAAGAGGCAATTAAGTATAGAAATTAAAGAGCAGATAATAAAAATTAAAATATTAGCTAAGAATAGTTCACTGGTAGTAAAAATGCAAATTAAAACAAGAATATATCATTTTTACTCTTCAGTTTAGCAGTAAATTAAAAAAAAAAGCAGTGTACCATCTAGCGCTAGCAAAGAATGCTGGCGAGCCTTCTGACACTGCTGGGACTGCAAATTGCTACAGAATTTTTGGAAAGTCACTTTACAATAGGTATTAAAATAAAAAAAAATACACTTGTCATTTGATTCAGCAATTCCATTTATAGAATATTACAGAGCACAGAAACTAGACATAGTCTGAATAGCCATTAGATGAAGAACCGTTGAATAAATCATGGAATTATTATACTTTGAAATCTTACGATATTCTTTAAAAATCAAGAATATGTATATGTTTTCATTAGAAGGTTATTCAAATACAGTGTTAACTGAAATTGCATTTCAGCTTAACGTGTTTAGGATACTACTTCATTAAAAATGATAAAAGCCTGTATTTGTCCATATAAGTTGAATAGCAGTAGAGAAAGATGTTGGGGAACATACTCCCACGTTTTAACGTTGATCGGTTAAAGGGTTTTAGAGGTGGGGGAGTATAATGTATTGCTGTCTTCTTTATATATCTCTATTGTTTGTTACATCAAGCATTCATTCTTCTATAAATTAAAAAAAATGAATAATGTAAAACTTCTACCCTTAAGAGAAATGAAAAGATGAGAGAAACCATCCAAATAACATTGTATAACTCAAAGCTTTTCTAAGAACTGTCTAAAGAAAATGCCTAGTTTCTAATCTCTTTGCCAGCTTGGGCCCTAGGTCCACATCACCCATCACTTCACCATCACACGTTCCCTTCTTATTAGTCAGTTAGAGTCTTGGGTCACCTTCTTATAGTCTCTAAGTGTCACAGGCACCATTATCTTTAATATATTTACTGTGAACTTTTTCTCAGTGCATTAAAGATGGTCTTAAAATGTAAAAGAATACTTAAAATCTTTCTGCATTTTATTTGGATGGTCTTGTGCACACACATATTTTCGATTCCATGTTTAATCCAATGATTCATAAATCTATATCTCTAGCCCAGACCACTTTTGTTAGTTGCATACCTGCATATCTAATGGTCTCCACAACATCTTTAGAACTCTTAATGACACCTCAAAACCTGATAGCAAATCCAGTATCGTGATCTGCCTTTTCAAGCCCAGCCCTTTCTTTCAGTGAATGACATCACATCCATCTAGTCCCATCAGCCTGAGACTTGAACGTCTTTCTAGTTACTGTTCTCCCTCACCTCCATCTCCCATATCCGATTCGTCCCCTAATTGTGTTCATTTCACCTCTGGAATATCTTTTCAGTGATAGTCATTCATAACAATCGTTTTCACTTCTCTTATCTCCATTGCTATCACTTTTGTCTAAGCCACTAGAGGTTTACCTGATTTCTTGCAATAAGAGGCTAATTACTTTCCACATTACATCACACTGTCCATCCTTTAAAAATATGTTCTCTCTTCCAAGAAAAATTCACTTTTGATTATATAGATTATCATTTAATCTTTCCCTGCTCCTAATAATTCCCTGCTTTGGGGATGAAGGCAACTCAGTCTCCACTCCGTGGCCTCATCTTTTCTCCATTGCCCACCGGGCCCCATCACATGGACTCCATAATGCCCTCGAAGGCCTGTGCTTCTTTCCGCGCTTCCTTGTGTTCGATACTTCTTACTCTCCCCACTTAGCACATCTTTTAGGTTGTAGCCCCAAAGTTATTTCTTTTGGGAACCTTTCCCTTCCTGTGGAACTGGATTAGCACCCCCTTTATCATTTTCACCACGGTTTACCAGTTCTACACATGTTGACTTTCAGATTTTTCTCCATTAGTGAACTGTAGGCTGCAGAAGGGAAGAACCCGTTTGTTTTGCTCACCAAACCCCAGCTCCAACAGGATGCCTCAGCATAGTAAATACTTGCCCACAAGCAGATGCTAAACTGAAAACATGCTTCAATTTTTTACTGTAGGAAAACTAGAATATTTAATCAATCTAACCAACTCAATTAGAGAATCTTAGCCTCCTGAAATTGTATTGACCCCTATTTATCGAAGATGATTGATTGAGTTGAACTCAGTAGCTCATGGAAATGGTGAACAGTATACATGTACTATCAACTTGATACAACTCTCATTGTAAATTTCATCTTTTTTCAGCTATTATTAATCGCTACCATTCTGATCATACAGCATATACAAAAGTGTTTTGAAACTCTTTATCATCTAGTGCATTTTATGGAAAATTCCCATTACAGAAAATTTTAGAACTAATTAATGTAATATTGTAATAGCTTTCATTTGTAAGCTAGTGGACTACTACTAGTTAACAGTGTCAAATCTAATTGAAATAAAATTTATCTTTCTGGCAAAAGACATGACACAATGCATAGACAAACCCCAAGTATGTTCAACATTAAACTCTTGATTAATAAAATGCAGAAGAGAGTAATCAATCTGTACAAATAGGATTAAATAACAGTATATCACAATAACTGTTTTGCAAACATGCCTACATAATTCTACTGACAACTTTTATATGCGCAAGTAAATTGCCAAGTTAAAAATTAGTGAACTGCATCAGAATCATTTGATTAGTTTTTAATGCACATGAAATTGAATAGTAAAGCAGTTTATAAATCAATTCTGCAAGCTTATTACAATGGACTGAAGGTCAATGTCTACTTTTGTTCATTTTTCATCACTTGCATTACTCTCCTCTTTCAAAAACAATTCACTGCCATTCTTAGTGATGACACAAGGCGTTTGCTCCTACAGTTTAGTCATGTACAAGGTGGTGCAGATGGTTTTTTCTGCATCACTAGGTTAATATGACCATGTTATATTGCATTACAGATTTAGTTGTCTAACTGCCATTCACCCAGAAAGAATACATATTGAGAATTTTGCTTGACGCTGGCACTTTCGAGCATGAAATATAAACACTAAATGAGTCTAGTCCTGTTAGGGTCTCAACACTGAAAAACACCCTTGGAAGTTAAGTTTCCATGTTTTACTATGTTTGTGTTCTAACTTGGAGAGCTAAAATAGATATGAGTTAGCCTATTTACTGAAATGTTAAATAAATCTAAAATAAGAACAGCTGAATAAGTTTTTTTTACACATGTTTAAAACATTATCCAAAATAAAAAACAAAAAAAACACTGATAAACTACTTGCATGAATATGATTTTGGTTAAATACAACACTTTCATATAAGAAGATATGTAGTTTCTAAAATACATAAACTTACAAGTAATAACTATGACAATGTCTTCTCTGGACATGTCCCTTTTGTGGAGCTGTTAAATATAATTTAGAAGGTGCATTTTCATGTATCCTGTGTCATATTGAACTAAGAACCTTTTACTTCTCAACCAAGAAGGGACATTGATATCTTTATTGGCTTTTTCTTTGAAAAACCTAGAATCATGACTTTAATCAAATATGAAAAGATGTGAAATACTTGGTCCACAGTCAAATAAGAAATCAGGGTAAAGTCAGCATAAAACAGTAGTTTCCTTGATTTAACTTCTGTTTACCCAAGATTTGCTGTTTTCTTGGAGCATAAATATCCCTCTGAGAACCATAATTCTGTCCTCTAAACAAATGTAGATAAATGCATACACACGATTTCATTTATTATCTCAGAGGTTGAATAATAAACTCCCTTTTCCCAAACCAAAACCCTTCCATTAATCCCCCCACCTAGGATTAGACTGTTAATATTACTTCCAGTTTGGACATACTTTGCTTACATCTTTGCACTAATCACAGTTCTTGCAAAAATATTATGATAAAGATTACATTTCTACCCTCTCTACTGGGGTAATGAGACTTTAAAAAATGATCTTGCTAAACTTTCCCAAATTGAGAAGATCTCATCAATCTCAACCGTTTCCCCCCCCCCCCCTTCTCATCTCTCTCTCTTTCTCTCCTCCTAGAGCTGGTTCTCATCTACTAGAGTTTGGAAGAAAACTAGGA